GAGTGGGGGGCTGCTGAGGTGGCTCCGTGGGTCACGCGGTGCAGTTCCTGAGCCCGGCCTCAGGGAGCGCCACAGAGCCCGATTTGATCCCGTTTGGGGTGGTGCATTTTCCCCTCGGTTACAGACTGGGAGCAAAAGGCCAGGACAGGGGAAGTCTAACAGCCTTTCACATTGTAATCATATAAATGCAGCTCTGAGAGGACCTCTTCAACAGGCAGCACTGTCTGGATTAAAGGGGGCGCACAGGGCGCCCTTAAGGAAACAGTCCGGGTCTGAATCAGCTCAGTGCGTCCAGCGCTGCGAAGGTGCTTGCTCTCCGGAGCTGCAGGGCTCGGCTGCTGCCCAGCTGAGTGCGATTTTGTACCTGGAGAGAGAACGTGATGGTCAAATGGAAGCTGGTCGGCCATGGAGGTAAAAGATGGAAAAGACGGGCTTCAGCGTATCCATCACGCACCGCTGTGGGGACCGGTGCTGAGCCCAGACAGAGCCTGGGGCCCCCCACGGGCCACATATTGTGGTGACAGATGCGTCAGGGGATCTGAATCTGTGGTCACTAAACATTCAGATGCCTGACATTTGGTAGTGAAGTGACATTTGGTGGACGAGCTCCCTAGTCCTAAATCCATGCTTACTTACCAGCCCTCTAATTGACTAGGGGATCAAAAATAAATATTTTGCTTAATGGAAAATTTCTGCGTAGTAGCTAATCGATTATTAACTCTTTCAGTCATTTATTCAGGTAGAATGCTTCCGACTGCAGTTGGTAAAAAACCCAACTGAAAATCCTGTAGGTAGAAAGATGAATTTTTTCAAATAAGCATAGATGAGGCTCCAGCGCTGGCTGATTCAGTTCTAAATGTTAACTGTAAAAGTTCAAAGTGGCCCATCTCTTTAATTCTGCTGGTGTATATTATTTAGTAATAAGTTTAATTTTCCTTAGTTATGTTTTCCCAAGAACAGTGTAATTTCTAACTGTCGTGTGACTGAAGAAGCCTTCAGGTCAACAGCCTTGAGCGTGTACTGATGGGAGGTTTTCTGGCATTAACCTGTTGTTTCCATTGTTGTCCCAGGAAACCTTTCCTCATTGAAAAGCCACTGGTGTGTCTAGGCAGGGTGATAATCCCAGCCTCGAGACCAGGGGAGGTTAGCACTCTGTCGTGTCTGATCCTCTCGGCAGTGCCGGGCAAACATGGGACCCATCTGTGGGGAACCGGGAAGGCCGGGCTCTCCCCGCCGTCCCAGAGCCTAGGGGTGGTGGGGCCGGAATTTGAACTCGGGTACGTCTTGCCTCACGTTGTCAAGGGTGGTCAGGTTCTTTCCTTTTCTGTTCAGAAATCATCTCCATAAAATCTCTGAGTGCTGGCCCGGATTAAACATCCTTCCTGGATCTCATCGCTCTGGTGCATGTTGTAGACAAACATTGGGTGTTTGATACGAGTCAGGTCTGTTCTGAACTCGGGGTGAGATTGGGCATGGGGTGGGGACCGCAGCTGGTGCCTTTATACAAAGACCTTCAGCGCTGGCGAGGGCGCGGGCACGGATCTGTGTGATGTAAAACTGCACGTTCTGTTGTGGGTCAGGTCTTGCTCCAAACACAGTCCAGAAAGACATGTTTCCCATCCATAGTCTCAAGGAATTAACTGTTCGCTTTTCCTCTTTTTATTACAGTAGCTGGAGTGTTCTGTGAAACATTTTGACAAGGCTTGTCCTAGTTTCTTTGTAGTGGTTTGTCTTCTCATGTACCTAAATAAAATTTCATATCCACCCTTCAAAGTTTCCAAGACTTGCTTCCTGGTCAAGGGTGACTTTGTATTGGGTCCCCCCGTTTCTGTCTGTTGCACTGGCCGCTGACTTCCTCTTCTGGGCGTTTTTCCACGTTAGGAGATACTTTCTTTTTTAACATATTAGCACATCCAGTAGAAAGCAGCTAAGAGCTTCTGGCTTCGATGCTGGGTGGCTGGCTGGGCTCACCCACCTGCTGCCTGACCTGTGTCCACACAGCAGGCCCACAGTGGTCAGATCCAAATGAGCACTTCAGCAAAGTCACAGGTCCTGCCCCGGCCCCTGAGCGCTCACTGGAGAGCCTGTGCTGCAAATACTCAGTCCGCAGAAGTCCCGATTCCCTGTGCTGACCGGCATTGAACTTGGGCTCAGGCACCGCGGAGGCCTGAGTTGCCCCCGCTCGTTCCTCCCCCTTCTTATTTCACCTGCCTCCAGGGTCACGTGCTCTCCCGCTGCCAGGCCTCCCTTCCCTCCTGCGCCAGCATCCCCCCGGCTTCTGCTGCTTCGTTCCTCCCTGACCAGCATCCCGAGCGGTTTTCATTTGAAGTACGCGTCACCTTCCGCTCTGTGCTCTGCTGCCGCCCCCTCCCTGCTGTTACCTGATGGCCTTGGGGTCTTTCCTTATTCTGCAGGGTCAGCTGGCTCACAGTCTTGCTCTCCACCCCAGCTCCTCCCTGGCCCTGGTGACTGCAGCGGGTCAGTCAACAGCTAGCTGCCCAGCCATGACTTCAGCTCTGTCACCTCCTCTCTCCTCTTCTGCCCCCGCTGAGGCCTCACCTCCCTGGCTGCTCCCTGGACACATGTCCCGTTCTGATCACACCGTCCAGTCCTCCCTTGAAGGGCTCCAGGCTCCTGGTCGCCCCCCTTTTCAGGCAGCGAGCTGCTCCCTCTCCAGGTGTGACGCCCACGCCCCTCCTCCTGCCTCCGCCAAGCGCATCAGCTTTGCAGATTCCAACCCCAGCTTCCCAGCCGCCTGCCTTAGCTGCAGCCCTTTTTAGCTGGAGGTCGCTGGAGACTAGGATCTCCGCTTCCGCTGGGTCCCGAGTGGCACTTAGCAGCCCTCTCCCTTATCCTGGCCATCTCCCCCTTCCTCTGCATCAGCACTTTTAAACCTTCACTAACCTCCTCCAGCCCTTTATCTCACTTTCAGCTGGTGACAGGGAGGAAAAAGACACCACACTGAAGACACTCTCCCCCTCCCTCCGGCCAGTAAACTGTCTACCTCCCCGCTTATCCTCACCCTGCTCCCCTTGTCTGAGACTGACCCCTGCCTGCTGCTGCCGCCTGGGACCTCCTCCCGCAGGCTTCAGGGACCCGCACACCAATCAGCCGTCCCTCTTTCTACTGGGGGCTTCCTGTCCGTCTGCCTCCCACTCTGCACCCTCCCCCAGCGCCCCTGCCTCTTCTCTCCGTCCCAGCCAAGCTTGCAGGAGTCTTCAGTACTTTTCATCTGCAGCGCCTTCCTTCATTCTTCAGCTGACTGCTTTTGCCCCACCTCGAGGGAAGCTGGTTTCACCTGGGTGCTGGTGGTGAGACTCCGCAGGCACCCTGCAGCCTCTGAGAGCTTCTCTCCTCGGAGTCAGCCCTCACCGCTTCCCGTCTCCACCCGGCTGGCTCACGGGCACCTTGAGTGTGACCTCCCTGCATCTGTACTGTTATTTTGCCACATGGCTTCCTCCTCAGAATCTAGTATTTCTTGTCTCAGTTGCTGGTATCACGTGCCAGCTGGCTCCCGAAGCCTTCTCAGTGGACCCTGCTGGCCCTGCAGGCAGGGCCATGCCCCTTTGCTTCCTGTCTGACCTTTGAACCCTTAAAGGCAAAAGCCAGTGGGAGCAGGTAGGGAGGCAGCGGTCATCTCATCCCTCACTGCTTCGTTTTGTTTTTTCTTTTTCTTTTTTTAAATATGTCTTTATTGATTACAGAGAGAGGAAAGGAGTGGGAGAGAGACAGAAACATCAATGATGAGAGTCATTGATCAGGCCCGCAACCGGGCATGTGCCCTGACCGGGAATGGAACCCCAATCTCCTGGATCCTGGGTCGATGCTCAACCGCTGAGCCACGCCCGGCCGGGCTGTGCTTCATTCCCTTGAAGAGCCAAGGTCATCACGGACTCGGCAGTTACAGCCACTTCCCGGCTCCTTTCCTGCGTCTCCTGCCGTCTGAGGTTGATGTCATTGGGCCTGCAGCTCACAGTCCTCCTGTGGTCTGTGCTTTCATCTGCTCTGGTCTGGGAATGTAGAGGTCACTTGAAGTGACTGAAAACAAGTCAGTGAGTTTCAAATGAGGTTTCTCCTGCAGAGCTGTCCTTCGGCTCTGCGTTGCTCTCAGGGTCCTGGGGGCCTTTCTCCTGAACAGTATTTGGTCTGCTCCTGAATGGCTGACTTTTCTCAAGACTGACTTCTAATTAGTTGACACCTTTCCTATTGTTAGCAGCACATTAGTAGCACCTGCCCATTTTAGATCTTCTGTTCTGCTACGTGATCTTTCCCCACCTTCAAGCTTATTCATTCTGGTGTAACCCTCACCAGGTGACTGTGATTGTCATGAATTGGATGCAGTACATTTCTCTGTGATTTTGAGCCCACAAATTAACACCCAATATAATAAAACATCAAATCTAATTAAAGTAGACATAATTACTTAACTAGTCTAAGTAAGTTATGCAGCCTAACTGGGCATTTTCCCTTTGTTAATTACTTTGTAATATGTAAAGCCTTTCTCGGAGCTGTTACGCATGGTGCACCTGACATACCAAACACTGGCATGTGCAACGTGATGTCATTCACCTTCTAGCAAGGAAAGAAAAAGAAAAAAACCCCACCGATTATAAAAGCAAGATAAGTTAGTAAAACCAGTGCAAATTCTATCATCCCCACGGGTAAGGGGGGGACACCGAGGACACCACCAGGCTGTTCCCGGCCTCCAGGTTTTTAGCTGGCTGACTGCAGGGGGCTCCCACCTGGAGCTCAGCTACAAGGAGGTGTGTGAAATCCCGTCCCCTTGTAGTCCCTGAAACTCCTCAGGGAGTTGGATGCTTCTCACCCACAGGGAATAATTCATCGCCCATTGTGGTACTTGGTTTTATGCGTGTGAATTAAACACAGACATCTCCAGACAGGAGATGCTGGGCAGTTCGGCCGCTTACCTGACGTCCGTCCTTCCTGAAGCACACCCTCTGGGGTTCCTCAGTTTAGGACTGTGCACAGTAGACTGAGAGTTATCTGATATTACCTATTTTATTTTTAATATGTTTTTATTGATTTCAGAGAGAGAGAAAGGGAGAGGGAGAGAAACATCAATGATGAGAGTCATTGATCAGCTGCCTCCTGCACGACCCCTGCTGGAAAGTGAGCCTGCAACCCGGGCATTTGTCCTGACCTGGAATTGAACTGTGACCTGGTTCATGGGTTGACGCTCAACAACTGAGCCACACTGGCCGGGCTACCTATTTTATTTTTTTATAAAACTTTTAATTTTGAGATAATTATAGGTTCACAGACAGTTTTCAGAAAAAAATAGAGATCTCATATCCCCTTGACCCTGTCTCCCCAATGGTGACATCTCACAAAACTAAGATCTCACACTCAGGATGCAGATGTCCGCACAGCTGCAGACACCCCGCGTTGTCACCACAAATAGTGCCCTGGTGCCCCTTCATAGGCACCCGCTCTTCCCGCCCCGCCCCTCCACTCCCATTCCTCTCACCCTGTCACTTCAGGAGTGTCGTATAAATGGAATCATACGGTGTGGTCTTTTGGGGTTGACTTTTCCACTCAGTATAATTCTCTGCAGATTCACCCAGGTTGTTGTGTATGTCAGGTTCACTGCTTCGTATTGCTGAGTAGTAGTCCTTGGTTAACCATTCACCTGTGGAAGAGCGTCTGGGTGGTTTCCAGTTTTTTTGCTTTTACGAGTGAAGCTACTATAAACATTCGTGTACAGGGGTTCGTGTAAACATACGTCTGTATCGCATGCCTGGGATCAGTGCCCGGGACTGCAGTTGCTGAGTTGCATGTTTAGTTTCTGAAGAAGCTTCCCAACTATTTTCCAGAGTAGCTCTGCCATTTCCCCTTCCCCCCGGCAGTGTGAGTGCTCGGCTCCCGTGCATCCTCACCAGCATTTGGTGGGTCGCTGTCTCTTATGTCAGCCATCTGATAGGTGTGTAGTGATGCCTCATTGTGGCTTTAATTTGCATTTTCCTAATTATTGTCTAATGATGTTAAAAATATCTTTGAATCGTGGCTAGCAAAGGGACAAATTTTTATCATAAGAGCAGTTTTCAAACTTCAACAAAGAAAATTGTCCCAAAAGCATAATCTAAAAGAACCACTGAATTAGCATGTAAGCCAACTATCCAAAAGGTAAGTGTACATATTTACTGATGTTTTCGCAAAATATTGTTTCGTTATATTAACAACTAAGATGTCATTAAATTTTATGGTTGTAGTCTAAGAATAAATTTATAGCACCTGTTTTAAATTTATTTTTCACGGTCTCCTTTTGTTTTTCAGATTTTTTATTTAAATTCCTGGTTATTGGAAATGCAGGAACTGGCAAGTCATGCTTACTTCACCAGTTTATTGAAAAGAAATGTAAGTGGCCTCAGACGTCAGTGTTCACGTGTGTCTTCTATGATCTCTCTCACTCACGCATTTACAGCCAAACTTCAGGGAGAAGTCAGAGTTTAAAATGTTTGAAAATAACATTAAGGATTTGTTATTAAACTTTTTATAATATGACCGAGTTTTTATTATGTTAGCATTTCAGTTTATAGTGGTTCATTGTTCAGTGTCCTGTACATTTTCCAGATAGTGACGTACAATATGATGATGTGGCGGCAGACAGCAGGGTGAACTAGTAACATCTGCGCCCCGGTGGCCTCGTGTTATAGTTAAGGCAGTGGTCGTTGATTCTGTTTTACAGGCAAAGAAACAGGCTTAGGGAAGTTGGTGTGTGCTCTTGGGATGGGCACCTAGTAATTGGTCCCCTAGGAACAGCCTTTTGACCACAGAACCCATCTTTGCCATTGACTTGCCCTGTTTTGGAAAGGGAGGGTGAATGTTTTATTCAGACTATGCACGAAGCTGCAGGTTTGAAAGGCCTTTATGAACAGTGCTTTTATAGTAGTGATTGGAGAGAATTGTGGCGAACGACCTGTCTGTTCAGTGGCAGCCAGGTAAAGGCATGAAAACAGAATTCATTTCACTGAATAAAGTGTCTCTTAAGCTGGTGTGTACAGGGTGGGGCGAAAGTAGGTTTACAGTTGTGAGTACGCGAAACGGTTTATTCTTGCCTTAGTGCTTATTAATTATCGTATTATTTCCCATATGAACGACTGTAAGCCTACTTTTGCCCCACCCTGTGTATGAGATCCCTTGGGTGATGGGTGGAGTGGAGGGAGAGAGGCAGCACGGAGCATCTTGCCAAGACCTCTGAGGAATGAAACTCTGGAAGTGTGTTGTGCTACTTCCATTTCATCAACCAAGGGTTTGTTGGAGCCTCTGTTGAGTGGCCTGGACCGCGTGGGCGAGTCACGGGGCCAGTGTTTGCTGACTTGCACTGAGTGATCTGGTTTCCTTACCATTTGCTAAGACACTGCATTGTTCTGTCTCAGAAAAAACGCCCGGAAGACATAGGGCCAGGTACCTGGCCTGCTCCTGCCTGGATGCCCCTGACAGTGGTAGGCAGCATGGTCTGTGGTAGTGACGTAATAAGTTTCCACTGTATTTCTCCTGTGGCCACGTTGAAATCAGGGTGCCCTTGGCCTTGAGTCTTCACCCCTTGGAGGCTTTTCCCCGAGGTTTGCCTGGTAGCTTAATTCTAGCGAACGTCCATATTAGTTTTGCAGCGACTGGGCATGAGACCAACCGGTAGAGTCACTACTAACCTTTTATGCCCCACACTCCAGGAAAGAACACACACACCATCACACGGTGTCCCTGATTTCTGGTACAATTGTATGTCTTGCAGCTATAAATATAAACTAGTCAGTGGACTGTATGGCCAAGGTAGCTTTTCGCTTATCCTTTCATCATAAATTTTCCTTTTCGAGCAGCTTATTGCAGTTGGGTTTAGCAAACTACTGATTTGGCCTGCTTCCCTGCCCACCCAGGCGGTGTGGATTTCCCGAACAGATCCTTTCCAAACGGTTGCCACACAGTACTGAGATTCATGAAGACTCAACAGCTGTAACGTGCACAGAGTTTTGATTTGGGGCTGGTTTGTTTTATTTACTCTTATCTTTTCCTCTTAATCTTTGGTCTCCATCAAGCTGCTTTGGGGGGCTTTTTTCTCTTAGAGTATTTATCCACTCAAATAGTTGAAACTCTCACTCCCTCGTTATTGACTGAGTCGCAGGTCTGTGCCCCCTGGGCAGAAAGTCCTGGGTATCTCGTGCAGCCTCCACTGTGAGCACTCAGCGGCCGACGGGGCACCCGGCTCCCATTTGGCACGGCCCCTCCGCGCTTAGGCTTTAAAACGCATGGTTTGTTTTAGGGGTTTTTGAGAAAAAGCTTAATTTTCTCTTTAAGAATAGGGACTGTGTGTGTTGTGTGTGAAACAGTGTTTATAGGCTGCCTGCTGGAGAAATGAACGGCTGCAGTAAGGGCCGTTTCCCACTGATTTCAGGGTGGCTTGCTCACATCTATAAGCCTGTTTCCTTAATGTTCTAAAATTAAACATCTTGCTCTTTTCCCTTTTCAGTCAAAGACGACTCGAATCATACAATAGGAGTGGAATTTGGTTCAAAGATAATAAATGTTGGTGGCAAATACGTAAAGCTACAGATATGGGACACCGCCGGCCAAGAACGATTCAGGTATTTTTATCACATTAGAGAAAAAGCTATTTGAAAATTGCATTTAAAATGATCAATTACAAGTAGTTGTCTACGATTATTAGTAGTCTCTTAATATATGTGGCCCCTCAGCCCCCTCGCACAGATGTTAGAAACTTCGCCTCTGGAAGCTTTAAGAGAAGCTAAAAGCCAGTTTCTCTCCACACAGCATCAGTTTCCTAAAGAGTCCAATACTGCGTTTGCAGTGTACCTTTTAGAGAATATACTTGTTCCAGCCTAATGTCCCCACCTCCCATCGTCTCTGTGACCCAATTTCAGACAGAACAGCTCCTCAGATATATATTTAGATGTCTTTGAATCGTGTCTCTTTTAAAGCAGCATCTGGCTGTGTTGTTTGCAAAACCAAAACGGGTGCTTCTGTGCAGGAAGGTGGTGCTCAGGAGTGAAGGCTCTCGATTGGCCAAAAGTAAAAGCAGTGTAACTCTTTCAGGTCTGTGACCAGAAGCTATTACAGAGGCGCTGCAGGGGCTCTCCTCGTCTATGACATCACCAGGTAATGCAGCCCCCCCCAGCCCCTTGAGAGAGGCGGCCGCTGCCCCCTGAAGTCCGCCTGGTCCAGGCGCCCCTGCGCAGTGTGTGCTGTGTCCAGCGGGCCGCGTGGCTGGGAGTCAGGAAGCCCCTCCGCCCTTTCATTGGGATCTTGGAGGTTTTGAACCAGCCCCGGCCACGGCTTTGCCATGTAAAGAAATATGTTCGTCAGGGTTTAGGTGAGCGTCATTATATTTCTTAACGTGATGCTTTGACACTTTCCCGAAGGTTCACAAAGTGAAGCTTAATACTCAGCATTGACCGAGGTTGGGGCGCAGGCTATGGGCTTACGTCGCTTGGCTGCAAATCCCGCTTCTGGGTTAGCAGCCATGTGCTGTCCTCAGGCGGGCTCCAGCTGTCAGGACTTTAGTCTCCTTGTCTGGGAAATGATGATCATGTGGTACTCGTGCGGTCACTGGGCAGTTAAATTAGTTAATATAAAGCTCTGGGCACATTATAAGGGTCTAAGTCTGCACTGTCCTATGTGTGGCTGTCATCCACATCACAGTTAAATGACATTAACATTCAGTCCCTTGGTGTCACTTGCTCCATTTCAGATGCTCAGGAGCCACACTGGTTCGGGTTTTAGAACTTACCTGTCCTGCAAAAATCCTATCAGATGGTTCTAGCCTTGGTGTTTGTTAGCACAGCCTTAGAAACCTATCATCGAAACCACACCCTTTGGGGCTCTTTCTGGGTAGGAAGTTGTCCCACTAGAGGGTGTCTCTCTGTCTTTGTGTTGGAATGAGGCGCTCTGGAAAGAGGTGCACGACTCCCGCCCAGACCCACCCCACTTCCCAGGTAGTGAAGGTTCAGCTTGCTCAAGTGTGGGGTGACGAGGCCATCAGAGTGTGTCAGGAGAGGGAGTTTGTCCCCATATACATGAGGGCTGGAAATAGCAGGTCTCAGAGTTTGTCTTGAAGTCAGAAAAGGCCTGGTCAAGTGCTGGCTCAGCCACTGGCCACTGTGTGACTTTGGGTAACTTAGTTTATCTCTCTGAGCCTCGGTTTCTCATGGAAAAGGCGGATAATAAGAGTCCTTATAAAGAGACAGTGTGATAAATTCCTGTAAACAAAGTCCCGCCTGCTGCATGGATTTGTTAAATGGCAACAATTAGCTGTTAGTTCTTGTTTACCAGAGTGTTCCCGTGAGCTCACTGAACATTTGTAAAATGAGTGAAGGAACTTTATTTCCTTTTGCATCTTTATTGGGCAAACAGAAAACAAGAACATCTGACTTGTTGTCTCATTTTCCTGGAAACAAAATAAAACAAACCCTTTGGGTGTGGTGTATACTTGGGGTGTTTGGGTGCCTGGGTTAAAGGTCGCTGGCATTACCCTGAGATGTTTAAAAGCAGTGTGAATGGTGTGAATGACCGGAAAGAGTTGCTAGTTTTATAAAATACATGTATTATTTTCACAATCTTATATTACGCAGCCGAGAAACCTACAATGCGCTTACTAATTGGTTAACAGATGCCCGAATGCTAGCAAGTCAGAACATCGTGATAATCCTCTGCGGGAACAAGAAGGACCTGGACGCAGACCGGGAAGTTACCTTCTTAGAAGCCTCCAGATTTGCTCAGGAAAATGGCAAGTGACCTTTGACCTATTGTGGCTTTTCTAACAGCAGATTTGGGGGTAATCAAATTGCTTTCGGCTTAGCATAGCTACTGGAGTTTTAAGATTAAACTGTATTTAGGAAACGTAGACCTGTGTACTGTAGCCTGAGACTGACTTAGCATATTCTCACGATATTGCATTCTGCCTGTAAAAGAGTTACTATAATGATAAAATCAAATGTATTAGTGCTTTACAGTGACTTTTCAGTCTAGGATCTTGGAACGTTACAGGTCTTGGTTTGAAGTGAAATTGATAACAAAATTCTTAACGGCTCCAATCGGGTGATGGCATCTTTTTTATGTAGTTCGAAGCTCAGATGGTGAAATAATTAGATCTAGATAAAAAGAAGCTGTAGAAGAAAAATTGGGCTTTGTCTTTGTCACATGAGACTGAAGTCATTTGGTTATAGATGCCTTTGAAATGTCTCTGAATTTCCATGTAGAATACATGAGATTTGCACATAAAATTAATGGTTGCTTATAGGTAACAGAATGGTAGGAATTCAGACATTTTAAGTAACTAACTTTTAGGACCAATCAAGAACTAGAATATTCTAATACCCATTTTCAGTTCGACTCTAGGACTATCAGATTATATTCTTACACATTGACTGGTTTTCTGCTAAGAAAATAAAACATGAGGGAAAAGCATAAGCCATCACGAGTTTGTAAAGAAGCTATTTAGAAATACAGAAGCCTAGAATGTTGAGGCTCAGAAGGCATTTAGAAGTCATTGGAATGCACCCCATTTTTACAAGGGAGGAAATGAGGGCTCTAGAGGTTGAGGTTCACCTACAGGAGCATGAAGCTGGCCTTTCTGCTGGCCCAGCGACTGCTCTGTGGAGGAGACAAGTGGGAAGTCATATAAGACCTGTCCCTGATCAGAATGACAAAGTGCAGGCTAGTGCTTTTCAGAAGAGGTTAGGCTGCTTCTAACATGTAAAATGTGTGTGTGTGTGTATGGGGGGGGGGGGGGCGGAGAGATT